ATCGTAATCATAAACATAACTATGATAAATAATAATAACAAATATATAATTAGTGATAATAAAAATACTTAGTGATAATAATAATAATTGATTTGCAATATTAAGCAGAAAAAGAAGACGAAAAAGATGTTAGACAAATAAAACAAAACAGGCGTCAAGTGATCGATCTATTGATTGATTCATTGACACTATAAAATTTTAACAACCATAAAGCTCATAACATAAACGATTGGCAAAAAAAGATGATAAGAAGTTCTCTAGAAAGATAGAAACTAAAACAAGTGAGTGAGGTGGACTAAATATAACAGAGCAGCAGCAATAATTAAAAGTTTTATTTGTTTACAGTGGCTAAAACAACTCACTAAATGGATAATAATAAGTGAGTAATTAAAATTAGCGCATAAATAAGTAAAAAACTAATTGATAGACTTGTACAACTTTCTTCCTTACTCCTTGCAAGAGTTATTCAAAGAAAGAAACTTCACGGTATCCAAGAATGTATAATTAGAAATTCCGGATATCTAGAAGTGTACAACATAGCAATAGCATATCAAGTCTCCCGAAATGAGACCTGACAAATTTTAAAATCTGTAGCATTTCCGATCAAAACAACGTGATCACATCCAAAGAAAAATAAAAAAAAAATGCAAACATGCTCACAATGCAATTTCTAGAAATAAGAATACAATTTTGCGCATATACGATAGTATTTAAACAATAGAAATATGTGAATTACCAAAATTTTTGAAAAAAAGCTGACTTATCATATACCAACTTCTGTACAGTTCATATGAGAATGATTTTATATTAAAAGAACTTATTCAGAGCACTGGTAATATTCAATAATTTCAACAGAAATACATGACAACCTATTAATCACGCGGAGGCATTATGTTATATTCTGATAAACATTTAAAAAAATATTAATATTCCCAAATTTCGTTATAAAATTGCGCAATTTGCCAATTATTAATTATCAAAAAGCTTTGAATGGAGATGAACCATTCTTGAAAAGGCAAATGCGTACAGATAAAAGAACTTATTCGCAGAAGTAAGCTTATCTATATTATATGCGTGCCATTTCATTTCGGTTTGCTGTTGACGTTTGAATCGTCGCTGTCATTTGTGAATTTGCTCTCACAGGACGTCGCATTGATCCCGGATGTTCCTATAATAGTGAAATAATGGTAATTTTTGGTAATTTTTAATCTTGAACAAATTTGCAATAAGAGAATCAATCCACTATAAAGAAATAAAATATTTCGAGTGGCACCACTTATTGAAACTTGGATATGCAAGATACAAAATATACATTCCTACACATTATACAAACTATTACCATACACTAAGAAAAAGTATAACCCAATCATTCTAGAAAATTTTAAATAATAGGCTTTTGAAGTAGAAGTTTAATAAATTTTAAAATTACTGTCCTGATTTCGAATTCTAGAAATGCGGGAATAAAAAAGCAATAAGTTCTACAGGTAAGGAAATTCTGAATTAACTTTTAAGTATTCTAAATTGAAATCTGAGTGGAACCCATAACTAGTTCCATTCAAGTCTTAATTCAAAACAGTTTAAAAGCTTAACTGCGGATCATAAACTGCATGGCAAGCGGAAAAGTATAGTATGAGATAATAGACGCATGCGACATATCATAGCATGAATTTCTTGACTTGTTAAATGAGTTGTACAAAGCATGCAATTGGGTTAGTGTTATATTTGTAACGAAAAGATATAACAAGCATAATGCGGCCAATCAATACTACTGCATCGGCTAGGACACGAGAATTAAATCTTAGCATTTAATATTATTATGCAGTAGTGAATTAAGTGGCCACTTTTTGCTACGATAACTCAAAGCTTACCATCTGAGCTTTTGCCATGCGAACTCAATGGACGTGTTTTGGATTGCATCAATTTAAAATCACGTCGGGAAATATTATTTAAGGTTTGCGCACCATGCAAATTAGCTGTCGTCGTACTGCTTGAACGCATTATCGGGTTAATAAGTTGACAACGAGTGAATAGCTAAAAAGTACTTGAAATCACGTCTAATTATGTCAAGCACACATAACGTTGATCTTTCTACGGGATCTGTTAACTTCCAAAAAAACATCGGTCCAATGATATCATAATTTATATAAAAAAGTTGATCTTTTAAAGAAAGCAAATTTTATTTGCTGGAAGTAAAATAGTTTAACAATATTAGATAGTAACAAAAAGAACAAAACAACAATGACAGCACAAATACTGCTATTATTGCTATTACAGCAAAATAATGCTATTTTTGTTAATATTAATAGTACCAAAAGGAACAGAGCATGCTCATCATTTTGCGAGAAAATGCTTCTAGTAAGGGTATCATGCAAGCAGAAAATTTATATAGCTAAAAGCAAACTAATCACAGAGATAAATGACAATTACATTAACAATAATCATATATAATACTTCTATATGATAAAAGGCACCTAGCATACCTTATCAGCAGTACCGGTTCCAACAAACGCACTGTTTTGAGAATGAGTTGCAGGACCAAGTTGTTTTAAATCCATTAAATTTTGTAATTCTAATCCTGCTCCAGGACCCATATGAACGATATGGACAAAATCAGATGGACCGCTGATTGGTAACTGGCTTCGGCGATCACCAATTCTATAAAAAATAAATTTTAGAAGATGATAAACTGCTAAATTTTTCAAAAATATGAGCAATTTTTTCGCAGCCTATTCTATCAAGTAATTAATACATGGCATTCATCACGCCATACGCTAACACTAAATAAGAATTACAGCCAATGCAGAAATCATTCAGTACTTTAGCCATATATCATATTACGATATAAACTGTAGTAAACGGCAATGATGGAGCAATGAATAATGAAAAGAAAAAAAAAGAAACAACACAACAAAATTATGCTCATGTAAAATCCGAAAAAATTTAAAATTTTTGTCCAAAAATATTGTAATATTATTTTTGTTGAATATCATAAAATATACCTTCCATGTCGATCATCATCACGTGAAGTACGTATGGAGAATTTCCGTCGACGTTTCGCAGCCATACCTTTGAGAGAAAGTGTAGACGCATTCGAAACACTGGACGATGTCCAAACTGGAATATTTACTGCGTCTTCATCTGCAAATTATTAACAACCAAATTAGCAAATCAACAGAGAAAGAGAAAAGAAATCAGAATGGGAGAAAAATATAAAGGTGGACAAAAAATCAGCAACTAATTATAACTAAACGATAAATACTTACAACAAACAATTATATGGCAATTTATCAATTGATCTGATAGAATAAAATTTTTTAATAATAATAACACATCAGAGCAGATGACGCAATTTAATTACTTTAATAAAAATGTACACTAATTAAACTAGAACATATTTATAAATTTTAATCGTAATTGCCTAGCTTGTGTAAACAATTATATTTTTCCCAATGTAAACAGTAATCATTAAAAAACCATTAAACCCTATGTAAGAGCAAAAAACATAAGCTAAGTGGATAATGGTACCTGAGAGTACATCCGAAAGTAATACGACATATGGCATATCATTCACCATGCACATTGTCAATAACCCGTTACTCGTCAACGGAAATGCCTGAAAAAAAAAATTTTTTTTTAAAATTCGGAACTGTATGATCAATGAGTGAAATCTATATTATTAGCTAGCACGAGTGCACTCAGCATACGATAAGTTTATAATCATAAAAAAAAGATGGATGATAACTCTCGTAACCAGTTCTTTCAATTTATCCATAATTCTTGCGGAAGGTT